ATAGGATAAGTTGTATATCTAAAGCCAGGCAAATCCTTTGGCTATACTTACCTGATTTACGTTTTTATATGTCTGAACGAAGAGTATTGTTTTTCACGCGTATCTTGTATGTATGCTTTAGTAGCTCATATATTTTTTTATATTCAGTCACAACAATAAAAGATGAAATTATAACTAATAAAAAGTGATAAAAATTTTGAAATGGTGCTAACAAATGAATTGTTGAATTTTTGTTGCTAACAGAAATATAAAAGTAAAAATTTCATGAGGGAGTGATTTTTTTTTCTTTTTTTAAAAACGTTGCCCCACCCTAGGATATTCTCCTGTGTCGTGGGTGCGTTTACAAACATACAATTTCTCATACACAATGACACCCAGACCCGAAACAACAATTTGTGGATCATACAAAGTGTTGTCCCGTGCGGGAATCGAACCCGCGACACGTTGCACAGCAGCCGGTTGCCCAGCCACCGAACCAACCGTGCAGTCCAATTTTATTGACGTTGCACTTTTTCTGTTCATACATGTTTGGAAAGTAGTCAACAAATAAACGTCAAGTGCCTATAAGTTAAGATAATTTTTAAGGACTTTTTCTGAGTATTTCAATTAACCTCAACAATAATCTACTAAAAGTATTTTCCAGTTGTCTAACCGGCACTTCTACTTCACTTAATCTATGACAATACTGAAGAGTTTTCAATTAAACAAAACTGCCGCCTGCAGGTACGCAATAACAGACAGGACAGTCCGAAACAATGAACCCAAGAGATTTCAATACAATGTATTGTCTAAAGAAACCGTTTCTATTTCAGTACGGACAAGATGGTGGAAACATCTCGAACATTCCTTTATAGAGATGAATATTTTAAGAAACTAAACAATGTACGTATAGTTATTTAACTCAGGTGGAAGCGATCGTGTATTCAGTGAAACAAAATTAAATGTTGAGCCTATGATTGACGTAAGTAAATGTAGAACAGAAGATCAAAAAAAAAAAAATAACGGAAAATGTATTTTACTAACTAAACTATAAAAAAATCATCATCATCATCATCAACAACAGCCAGAGAGAACAGCCGGAGATGTCTACTGCTGGACAAAGGCGCTCCCCTTTAGGGCAGGGGCAGTTGCTATTATCCCCACACTTAGCTGGCGGCTTGTGTATTGCCGTTAGGACATCGACGTTTTTATGGAAGGCTGATTCACATTCCTCGGTGACTGGTCGCAGTTTTAAGACTTCCCAGGGTTGAAACTATAATAACATTGTTTATTCATGAATGTTTTATAGATATATAGATACTTCGCCTTCATCATCATCATCATCAGCCTGTATTCGGCCACAGCTGGACATAGGCCTCTCCAAGATACTAGATACTCCACTTTATGTACAGTTATAATTATCTCTATGGAAGTTTTTTATGTCTATGTTCACACTATGTTCAAACATCTAAGGCAGTCGTTAGACCCTAGAATTTATAAATGAACTAAAATATTAATATGTCAATTTTAGTTTTAAACTCTCAGATCCTGATGGACCTATTCTAAACTTTGTGTAGTTTTAATATTCAGATTAGATTACATAGGTACTTTACTTGGAGAACGGCTACTGCGAAAACAGTGGTTTTTTAAAAATCTCTGAACACGAAGTCTGGAAATGTGCCCGGTATATGGCAATAGGCTCACCCACATGGGACTCATAACATAATTATAGTGAAAAATCAGTGTTACATGATTGTACGGTGGCATTAAGTGACGTTATGTGCACCTCTGCCTGGCCCTTTGGGAATAAATATTGTTATTTATGTTCCAGGTATAATAGTTATAATAGTATAATAGTTCGTTTAGTTAATAATCTTTTGTACATTGTTGCCATCTAGACCTAAGATCACTATCAAATTAATTTTACATGCACACATTTGTAAAAAGTGGATGTTACATTATAGGTACAGTGGCATTAAGTGCCGTCATGTGCACCGCTACCTACCCCTTCGGGGATAAAAGGCATGATATTTTGTTTTTATTATCATTGCTATTTATGTTTAGAAAGTCTTATTTCTAAAGGTTTACAACTTTATTTTATCTTGTCATCAGCCCTATCCCTTAGCCATACTCACATTTTACGTGTTAATGTTTCACCTTTTCTGTCCTTCCCCTGGGTATATAGAACCAAAGAAATATCGTCTGACCCTTCCTGAACTACATTTATAGGAAGTCCAATATACAGTAGGGGAGGTACTGTCCCTGAAGCAATAACTTCCTTAGAATTTATTTATTTCATTGCAATGGCAGTTATTTGTTAGCGTTATTGCTATCTTCTGGGTGGATCAGTGCAACTGTGAAGATTTTTCTTTATTGTATATTTAATATTGTGTGTGTTTATGTCTTTGACTGCCTCGTTGGCCGAGTGGTCGTAAGTGCGACTACCGGGCAAGGGGTCTCGGGTTCGATTCCCAGGTCAGGCAAAGTATTACTGGGTTTTAAATATTCTCAGTAGTAGCACGGAGTCTGGAATTGTGTCCGGTATATGGCAATAGACTCACTCCCTATTACATGGGACTCATAACATAAATAGTGAAAAGTGGGTGTAACATTGTACAGTGGTATAATGTGCACATTGTGCACCTCTGTCTACCCCTTCGGGGATAAAGGCGTGATGTTATGTTATGTGTTTATGTTAAAGATATTTTTTTCCCGAATTAATATTATGACTTTTCTGCCTGGACAATGACAAGGATCAATTTAAAAAAGTTGACGGCCAATCTTCAGGAATGATGTGGCGCCATATGAAGAAGAACAATATTATGAATGTGAATGTTTGTTAGTGAATTTGTGTGAGTTACAACACTGAAGGAATTATCAGGATGAAATTTGGAGCTATAATAGCTGGGGTAATATGGTCTGGAATAAGACAGGCTACTTTATATCCCATGCGTATGCGGCCGGAACCGCTAGCACAAGGAATTATGATGATAAGTATAATCAAATATAATTTTAGCTAAGCCTAACAAAAGTGTTGGCTTTAGAAAAATGATTCTAAAGTGCCACTTAAGACTGCTACAAAATATTACTATAAAAGCAAGATTACGAACAACACGAAAAAAAATTAATGTAAGCATTAAAATTCCAATCGTTAAGATTAATCTCATCTTTCTACTTAAGATTATACCTTAAAGCTCTCTTTGTATGTATGTAATCTTTAGCAAGAACCGTTTTATTTTCACGAAATGCAATTTAAATAAGTCCTTAAGTAGCTCAAGTCTAGAGTTCAAAATCGCAGTCTGTCCTTAGCATGTCATTCCTTGTCATCTAAAGGTGATATCAACCGTCTGATATCCTTTTGATATACATTCTTTCCTTAATGAATCGCTCTTGTGTCTCTATTAATATGTGATTACGAAATTTTTCCTTGTTTTCTTTAGAAAATTGGTATGTGCTTTTCTTATCCTTCCATTATGGCTGTAACCATATCATGCTTCGTCCACATGACTGTAAATACTGTATTTTTTGGATACCATATTAAAGAAAATGTAAAAAAAATACCATTGTGTTTCGTTGTGTGACTTGTGTGAGTGAGGTTACCGGACGCCCAGTTATCCCCCCTTCCCGACTGGGAGGATTCGGGGATTGGGGAGACTTCCCCAATCCCCGAATCCTCCACAATCCTTAAATTGGAAATTTGAGGATTGCGGAGGATTCGAGACGACCTCAAAGGCCGGTAACGCACTTGTAATGCCTTGCTTACCATCAGGTGTTCCGTCGGCTTGCTTACCAGCTTATGCCATAAAAAAATCGCTTTCAACAACGAAGTTCTTGACACAGACCCACTGGAGAATAAAAACCATTATTTGTATTAAAAAGTTTATTCCAGTATTCACACTACCCACTACCTGCAGAGCCCATACCAAAGGGCAAAGAGTCTTTCGTGGTGAGGAAGTATACCCCAGGACTGCCATCATCAGACTCCAACCCCATGTAAGATATCTCGTTCTTAGAACATCGGCCTTCTCCGAACATTGTCCAATTTTCACATTTACGTGCTGTAAATAAATCCAGTTTTAAGCTCTAGCCACACTAGTGCCGAACCGCGATGGTGTTTAGTCGCATAACATTGTAGGTACTAAAATCAGGGGCAGGATATAACCGCCGGCAAGTGTCGACACTACTTTTGTTGTTCCAAAATCAGACGATTAAAAACCGCCGCGGTTCCGCGTTAGTATGGCTGGCTGGGGGGCCCACGTAGTGTTTTGTTAATATGCAATTATTAAGGGTATTTTATAGGTGAATCTAATGCCTAGTCATTACTAGGTAAATGCTCATGTCAGCCACATACATACTGGCCAATCCCCGAGCTTAATGTTTATTATGTGTTTATTATTAGTTTTTAAATACAAAAAATTCGAGCGGGATTTCTAATCCTTATATAACCTCCCTATTTATAATAATTAATAATTTATCTTCATAATTACAAACATAGATATATGCTCAATATATAAGCTATAATAAACACTGATTTGCTTCGAAAAAAGATAAACTTTCAATAAAAATCAACTGGTAGGTTTTTGGTAGTTAAATTAGACACACTTTTTGCGAAAATGAGGAAACGTGTCCAATGACTTCTCCCACCATGGGTGAGGCGAGAGAGAGTGTCACACTTTTACTGGTTAACCCAGGGCTGTACAATAGATAGAATGTAGAATAGATATAAGGCCCGGCTTGTTTTCATGTGGCCCGCGACACACATTTTAATCTAAACATCATCTTATTTGCAACAACAATAATAAAATTCAGTGAATAATTTGTATAAGTACAAGTTTTGTCTGGGAGTGAGAATACAATGTTAAATGTCAAATTGAAAATATTTTTCTTACCCTCCAGCTCTTGTAAGAAATTGAATTAACCCGCGAGGGTATATAGTTTGGACTGCCCTGGGTTAGGCTATGGAGTTGCAAAGGCCAATTTAATACCTAAAAAAACAACTTTACATAGTGAATTTCGTTTACCTGGAAAGTGTTTAGGTGATGCAATAGATTCTGTAAATAGCTCCCAAGCTCTGCTGTGGTCACATATAGACAGATAGCATCCAGGCTGGATGATCCCTCCATTTGGGTAAAAGTCTTTATGACCTGTAAAATTTAAAATATGGTTTTACTTTTTAACATCAAATCATATTAGACTGTCGACTGCGAGAAATTATTAAAATTAAACTAATTATCGTTCACGATTTCACGTGTCAATGTAGATTAAAGTTTTCTAATATGTCTCAGTAATAAAATTTATCAAACGATCAGTTCAGACGAACAATTCAACTTTCGCATTCATCATTATATTCCACTAATGAAATCTAAATCAACGTAGTACTAAGAAAATGAAGCAATGTCCAACAGAAAAATATAAAACCAAGAAAATCTCAGACAAAAATATATATCTTCGCAAAAACAGTAGGAAAGTAGCTTACACCATAATAATTCCTTCCTGAGAGACAAATGGCCATCAGCATAAGTACCATAAGTATCTACTTGACAAAAGTATGCACATCACTAATACTTCTTCAGAACAAAAGAAGAAGGTATTAACAAACGCAGCATATTAATACCTTTTTCAATGGTATCTCTCTATTGTTGAGCTTTTGAAAAAAAGATACTTAGCCCGCTGCAGTAAGGTTGGTTTTTGTAATTGCTTGATCATCAAAATTAACAGTATTTAACCTTATACTGTGCTTATACTACTATCTAAGTTTCATACTACAAAATGTGAATATTATTTTATTTGCAAAAAAAACACCACTAAACCAGAAAATAATACAATTTTGATGGTAATTTCAAAAGTCAAAACTAGTAAAAGAATAATTCTTTTATAAACTACGTTTTAAAAAACTGCCATCAGCTCCCTCTTTCGTTGAAGTCCGTTAATTAATATAATATTAAAACCTGGCGTAGGCAGAGATGTACATTACGGTACATAATGTCACTGTACAATGTAACACACACTTTTCACTATTTATGTTATGAGTCCCATGTAATAGGGGGTGAGCCTATAGCCATATACCGGGCACAATATTCCAGACTCCGTGCTACTACAGAGATTAAAAAAAAACCCCAGTAATACTTTGCCCGACCCGGGAATCGTATCTAATAATATTGAAAAAGTTCATTGTTTACCTACAGGCGCTTTGAAACCCAATATTCCTGCATTGCTATGTACCACATCAACGTATTCTGCGTCAGTCCTGGCCAGTCTTCCAGTGTCACTAATGTTACTAAAGCATGGCCCAGCAGGATCTAGTGCTGTGATCCGACCAATCCGTTTGCCAGTCACTTCATAGACCTTCTTTCCTGCTATCCCTGCGATATGGGATCCTAGGCTATGGCCTATAATGTAGATCTTAGAAGGGTCTTCTCCATCTGTAATAAGAAAAAGATTTTATTAATTAGAAAATAATTTGCAAGACGAAAAACAGACTTATTAAACATTGTTAGTATCAATCGGTCTAAGAATAGGGTAGTATCCTAAATTTTATTTTAATGTCCGTCTGGTAGATTGTTTTAAAACATTGCACACGTATTTTTTCTTTTCTTACAAAATTAAATATTTTCTACAATGTATTGATTTGAAATATCGTGCGACGTCACGATTTACATTTTATAGGGCAGCGTGACACAATGACCTCCCAGTCCGAAACTTAACTCCGTGTTATTATCCATTGTTTTCGTATACGACAAAATAAAAAAGACGAATCTGTTAAAATACTGAAATGAAAATAGAACGCAAACTAGTTCATATTCTCGCCACTAGTGGCGCTGTCTTTAGTTGTATGGAGATATGTTATTTTTTTCTAATCTATGGTAGTCTACCGTACGTCTGCATGATACTGTATGATTGATCTCAGAAATAAACTTATTTGTAAACTTTTACACAGTTTTACTTTAGAACCACATTTTCCTTCAGAATCGTATATTTATTTCATCATCTAAGTGACGGATTAATTACATTTTTAATTTTCATACACTGTTTACTACCCTATTGTACTATACTATCAAAGACAGTCAAATAGGTATCAAACTCCTTTTTGAATGTAATTGTATTCTAACTCACTTCTAATGACGTCACCCAAGAAACTGCCAAGCAACTCTCCCATGAACCTTGCATTTGTAGAAGAACTGAAATACTCTAAATTAATGATCTTCCTTCCATCTAGCGCAAACACTTTATACATGGACTTCTTCAGAAGCTCTGGTGCTATGGCGTTCACCATCCACCCATTGGAACTCTCCATGAAGCCGTGGATTAATATGACTATGGTTTGAGCTCGAGCCATCAGTCTGTTCATTCTCTTAGTTGCTGTCAGATTAAACTTGATGTTTCCATTCTTAGTGACCAGGTCTATGTTCAGCACGTCGTACCAGTTCGTTTTGTTCTTCACCTGCATCTGTTCATATGTTATGCCCAAAAAGCTCTTGAGGGATTCACCTGGAACAAGTATGGGATAGTCTGTTAAAGAGTGGATTTTTTTGCCAGAGTTTATATTTCCTGAAGGGTTTTCAAGGCCCGAGTGAATAGGTTGCTTATGGGACGACGTGCTCCATTGTAGACCGCATCATCGCTTATCACCAGGGTCGAGAAAGAGGTAAAACGTCGGCCCCTCAAATATAAAAAAAATCATTTATAAAACTCTTTGTTCTGTCTCAGGTAATTATAATTCATACACTATGAAACAATGTTTGTCTAATATTAGGTTCACATACCTATAAATATTTGTACGTTAATTCAAATTTTACTTTTCAAACAATGAAATTCTTTTATAAGTCCTCGGGGAGACAATGGCTTCAGAGTTTACCATTTATTTTGTACAATTGTAACAAAGCATTAAAAACTTCTTCAGCAGTTTTATGTCTAGTCCGTAACAATAACTTCAAAACTTTAGTCCTAAGGGTACCAGACCAGCTAATATTTGCTCCAACAGTCGCCAATACGTCTACGGCAATGATTTCAAAACATCTTTATTTTATATGTACTAGAGTTGTTTTTTGCAAACCAAGTTTACACTTACGCCTGATCGTCTGGTCCTTCCAAATCACTCTCACAACGTCTTAATAATCAAACTTTCAGATTCGATTATAAAAACGATTTGGGAATTAAAGAAAAACATTAACTACTTTTCCGGTTGGTCAAGTTCATCTTCAATCGAATTTAACTTCGACGGGAACCATCAAAACTTTCTTCTATCTGTCTCCAAGGCCATTTTAACTTAACAACAAAATATAGAAACGCACTTCTCCTGTTGGACTTTAAATAAATTTTGTATTTGTATGTCATAATGAACCGGTTATGAAACAGTTTTAAATTGCTTTAAACCCTAGACCTGCTTTTATACTTATCATCACACGTTTTATATAGGATAGGCAGAGGTGCGCATTACGGCACTTAATGCCACTGTACAATGTAACACCCACTTTTCACTATTTATGTTATGGGTCCCATGTAACAGGTGTGCGTCTATTGCCACATACCGGGCCCAATTCCAGACTCCATGTTACTACTGAGAATTAAAAAAAAATACTCAGCTACGCTTTGCTTGACCTGGGAATCGAACCCAGGACCCTTTACCCAGCAGTCGCTTTTGCGATCACTCGGCCAACGAGGCAGTAAATCTGCTCATACTTTGACAAACTACTAGTCTATAGTTATCATATAACTAGCGGCCCGTCCCGGCTTCGCACGGGGGGACTTAAGATTTTTTACATAGTTTTACGTTTTATTTATATTTATTCTCAGTTTTTTTTTAGCGACCTGCCCTCCGTTGTCGATGTCGCGTCTTAAGGTAACCGATTGAACAATTCAAAAGTTATCTAGAGCAAACTTTTATAAGGATTGAACCATTCATTAAAACGATTGTTATGGGTAAACTATAAAAGGTAGACATATGCTCTCGCGGACTTTTTTAAAAATAATGTTAAGATAAACAATTCATCTATAGAACATTTTTGTATAACTTTAACTATATGCTCAGCGCACGCCACGGAAGGCCTCAGAAACGATACTTTTCCCCCGTTTTTAAAACATTTTTGGTTACTGCTCCACAACTATAGGACCTAGCGTGATATTATATAGCCTATGTTACTTCTGAATAATGCAGCTTTCGAATGGTGAAAAAATTATTGCAATCGGTTCAGTAGTTTTTGAGTTTATTCATTACAAACATACAAAAATACAAAAATACAAATCTTTCCTCTTTATAATATTATATAGTATAGATAAAAATGGTCGTATATTATGCTTAATGTTGTGTAATTATGATAAAATCAGTTCTGTCACAAAACATAAAACATTTTAATACTACCATTTATTTAACATGTAACAATAGTTGTATCTGATTTCCTACAAATAAATACGACCAATGTAATTTATGCGTAAAATGGTAGAAAATGCCATATACCATTAAGTTCACCTTATTTTGCATTATCAAATGATGTGCATTGAAGATTAAATATATAAAAAGAAATAAATAATTTTGAATTACCACAAAAATACCTCTTTTAGGAAGCAAATCACAATATTATCATCTCCGATACCAAGACTGGAAACTATGCAATATACCATGTTATAGAAAATATAATCAGGCACTAGACAACGCGTTACGGGTCCGATTCCCGTACAAAAAAAATATAAATTAGAAAACACATCATATCCAAAATTAGTTGAACAACTATATTGTAGGACACAATAAAAAGACACGCCCTTTGCCACCGCATGTCTTAACATAACATAACATCACGCCTTTTATCGGCAAAGGGGTAGGCAGAGGTGTAGATTAAGCCACAATATAATGTTTACTTTTCACTATTTATGTTATGAGTCCCATGTAATAGGGGGTGAGCCTTGCAATTTCAGATTCCGTGCTACTACTGAGAATTAAAAAAACTTAGTAATTCTATGCCGGACCCGGGAATCGAACCCGAGAACCCTTGCCCGGCAGTCGCACTTGCGACCACTCGCGACACATTAATAACATAACTACAGATTCAAAACTACAGGTTGATGCCGATACGGAGCTGCGAAGGACTTAACGGGTTGCCGGGGCTCGATGTGCAGGAGTAGGAACGGGTGGGTTTTTAATCAGCAAAAGTTTGACACTCCCTCCCGCCTCACCCAGGCGGGAGAAGTCATTGGATGATTTTCCTCCCACAAAAAAAACAAAAGATTCAATATTAAGCAGTCATTTGTAAACATGAAAATACTCACATCTATCAGATCCAGCACTAACAAGAGGATGAATCATTGATAGGGTGGAATCGAAGAAGTTGCTCAAAGTGAATTTAGCAGGCACCGTGTGTGGTACACTCGCTGCATACAGGCTCACAAACAGAAGACACTTGGTGATGTAAACCAACTCCAGGTGTTTCACTGGAAAGATAGAATGGAATCATATATAATATCCTACATACATCATATTAGCTGCAGGTTTATGGAGGAGGATGGCTTATGGAGCTTCTTGCTCGTTCTTCTCCATAGGAATCTACACCTTGGAATGAGCAACTAGCTTCACTTCTAAACTTTTTTTGTTGTTGACGTTCAAAAGTGCCTTCGTTATCTAATTGAAATAAATGATTTTGACTATTTATAACTGGACTACATCAATTACAATTTTGATCAAATGAGATATTTTTGGCCGTAGATAACGACTGTTTAAGTTTTTGTCTTATAAGAATTGTCGAACACGTTACAAAACAGTCGGTCACCCAGCCAGCAGTCCAATAAAATTATGTACTACTTGGAAATTGGGATTATGACAGGGTATGAACATTAAAAATCTAATTAGTCCGTAAGTTAAGTAATTAAAAAATATTAGACACGTATTTTTTTGTTTTGTCGTATAATAAAACAATACTTAAATCAAATGAATCAAGGTTTAGGAGTGGGGGCTAAAAAGTTATTTCTACGTATAAAATGTACATAAAAGTAACGTCACGCGACATTTGAAATCAATATATCGTCGAAAGTATTCGGTTCTGTAAAAAAAATTAAAAATATGTGTCTAATGATTTAAAACAATCTACCAGACGGACATTAAAATAAAAATTAGGCATCTACCCTATTGTGTATCTAATAAAATTTGAAGACAGCACTTTTCTTCTTATTCAATTTCGCTGGTAAACTAATAAGAGTTAATTTAACAAAAGTACACGAAATAGTAATATTGTCTAATTTGATTTAATTATAGCTACTTTGTTAAATCATTGAAAGCAATTAACTAAAGTTAGTTATAGTCCACACAGTAGCATAAAAACACTCAGGTACTTAGATATCATTAATATTTTATATTAAGAGCGAATAAAAAGTCAACCATTTGGCTTACCAATCATCGCCAACAGATATAACAGAAGATATAACATAAAAGTTAACTCAAAATATGACACACAAACCAAATCCTAAAACACAGCACAAACCAATATAGTCAAAAAAACAAAAGTGTTAGAAATAGATAAAAACATAGACGATGAAGACAAAAATAACGTTGATGGTATTTTGTATGAAATTTCACTCACAACTAATCATTTCACTGGATTGTTATGGCCGGCTATTGTGTAAAAATGTGATATTGCCATACAGGTACTTATTGATACGAATGTCGACTACGAACTGTGTGCGTTATAGCATTTATTTTTACGACCATAATTTGTACTTTTATGATGGTAATGAAATGGCAAATTGAGATTACTCTCTGATTTTCCTTTTAATTTCTATACCTAACGTTAGATAACTCGAATGCCATAATAAAAAGAGATCCCTGAAATTATCACTCTCATTATCATTGCTAATTGAAAAAATTACCTTATTATGCCGTAGTGATGCATACAATCTTTTTTATTTAGCGATTTTCTGCGTTCGTGATACAGTGTCGGATGTTTACAAGCAGAAAAGTCACTTTCACCTCAGGCTTGGACTTAAACGAAATTAATTATCGTCATCCATGCAGACAAGTGTGATAAAAATAAAATAGAACTGTTGGAACAAATACTCCAAATCCTTTTCAATCTGGATCTTAAAACAAAATGGAGCAAAAGCCTAAGACAAAACCTATAAAAGGACCTCAATTTGATTTCGATGACGTAGTTCAAGCGTTTGATGGAACAAAAAAAAATGCAAAACTCAAAAGGTAGGTCGGCGATCATATTGATTTAAGTCTAGTCCGTCCATTTTCACAGATGAGAAGTTCAATCGAATCTTGATAAAAAGTAGATGAAGCGCTTCAAAGACAAAGAAACTATAAAGATCATTTGTAAGTATTCTTGGAAAGGCAGACTTGATGAAATTAATCTACCATCTGTTGTCTGTAGGGACGAGTATTTTAGAATTCTTTTATGACGTACGTATTAACGTGTGACGTAATATTTTTGGTTTGATTAACGGAATTACTATTAGAGTTTTAATGAAAAATTCAGTAGTGGTACGGCTTAGGTTTTAATAATAAGGTTCAAAATATCTGTTATACGTCGTGGTGGCCCGAAGGTTTAAGCCGTCCGCCTCGGATGCATGAGAGTGCAGTTTTAAAACCTACAAAGAGCAAGTAACAATATGACTTTACCCGAGTTATATGTAATTTCTAAGATTATTTAAACACCACTGACAAACGGTGAAGAAAATACATCGTGGGGAAACCCGGGCTTAAGTTTGAACTTGCCAATCCACCTTGAACAATCTTGGTACTGGTGATTCACGCTCAAACGCTCCTTATGTCAGAAGAGGCCTTTGATCAGCAGAGGGAACTTATGAGCTGTTCATGATAAAAAGCCAGCCCTATCTAACAGTTCCAGTTCTTTTTTGTTCTTAATTCATAGAATAACAATGAAGGACATGAAGCAGTTGATTTAAGTGGTTCTCAATTTATTGAAGCTTTGTTACAATTTTTCTGACTACCACCAGGAGATAAATATAATTGAAGTAAAACCAGGAAGTTTCAATTAATTGATAAATGTACCATGAAATAGTAATTATATCAGATTGTGATGCTTTACCTACGTTATTGTTTTGATTACGCAGTCAAACCTTCAAAAGACACCTAGCTTTTTTGGGAAACTACTAGGGAGTGTGGGCTTACTACCTCGGTGGCCACCATCATCACTTATAGCGCACCGGGTGCTCTATAATAGACCTGCTCTGGTACCCCCAGGGTAATCGTGTCAGCGCAATCCACTGACGCTGCTCATAAGGCGCTCCTTCTGTAACACAAAACTAGTAAAGCTTTTCTCGGTATATACGTGAGTAAACCGGCAAAAATATACCAAGTTCTAGTCTTCAGTGGTTGTTCTAAATCGTCATCGATGCGATGTATATCTAAACTGAAACACGACATTTTGTTCCGCCACCGTGTGATCCTATCTCATGATTGTTACGAAATGTTTCCATATACATGCGTGTTGAAACAACACTTGTATTAACATATACCTAACTATGTGATATTTGCAGTACTCTCTTTTTGAGTGTGAAGTAATTATAAAGGCCATTGTGCTAACTTTATTCATGGGGTTGAAAAATTTGAGGATATCTTGATTAGGGTATGATTAGGAGGATTTCTTAATAGATAATTTTTTTATTCTTATTTTTCTAGCTAGTTTCTGCAAGCGGCTTCGCCCGCGTTCGAGTGGAATTCATCAAGTCATTATTTTTTATAATGAAAATGAATATTTTAGGCCATGCCATTGAATCAAAAGACAGAAGTATCAATTTACTTTCCAAAAATTATAAGGACGTCCGTGGAGGTACGAATAATATCTTAGAAATAAAGGCACTGGCCAACTTTTTTGCTTCATATTACCATATCCTAAATATCTAGTACGTAACAGAAGTTCAACTACTAGGTATTGAATCGAAAATAACATAAAGTAAAAGTCAATGTTACCGTCAAAGTCAATATCAAAGACAAAATCAAAGTCAAAGTCAAAGTTAAGGTCAAAGTCAAAGCCACCGCCAAAGTTAAAATCATTTATTTCGATTGGACCAGCAAGATACTTTTGAACATACACATTAATTATTATCGATACATCGTTTATTACCCGGATGGGTAGGTGAAAAGCACTCATTGAAAGTAACACCCATTTTTTATTTTTATAACTTCAGGGGCATAGAGAACTGCCTTACTTCGAGGACTATTAATGAATTTACACTATGTGATATTTCTAAAATTATTGAAAACTTTCTATTTCATCGATATCGTACAAGCGATTACGCGACCAATGAGGCAGTTTGTTTGTCAGTCACTTAAATAAATAAAACTGTACCTAGGTCCTACGTATTTTTATTTTACGTTTCGCGTACATAAAAATATATAAACTGTTAACATTTCTATCGCAAAGGTCATTATGTGGTTTTCCATTTTTCGTATTATTATGATTGTCATGGATAGTGACCTACATAGGTATTCAATTCGACCTCAATTATCACCTTATTCAGTTTTTTGGTACCAAGGCCCGAATTTCATTTCTATTTTACGAGGAAACTCCAAACAGATTATTGCCAACAGAACAAAATAAAGGTTGCGTTCTCAAATACCAACATGTTTATTAGGATGTTTTCACAGAGGGTGAGAATCAATGTTAATTTTATTTATTTGAAATATTATTTAAAATAATTGTAATTTTAAGTTCTGAGTTTAAGTTCTGGTAACATAAAAGTAATAAAATGTCCAGAAACATTTACATCAATCGCCTATAAGTCAGACAGACAAAAAATCTATCAATTTGTATCTTAGAAATTATAATTCCTCGCGATGTTTTTCTTCACTGTTTGTCAGTGGTGTCTAAATAATCTTAGAAAGTACATATAACTAGGAAAAAGTTACATTGATACATACTCACCATTAGCAGGTTTCGAACCCGTCCCTTAAACCTTCGGGCCACCAAGACGAAGAGGTCGAGCTTATATTGAAAAAATAAACTGAATTAATTAGATTTCATTTCCAAGAAAACAAAAGAGGGAGAGCTAATCAGAACATTTTTACTAATTAAAAATATCTAGAAGAAGACATTGAAAAAAAAAAGAAAATAATGTGCCTTGTTATTCACGGTGTTATCTTTGGAACAAACAATACAAGGGCAGGTTGAAAGCAGTTCAATCAACTTGCTCTTTTGTTTAGAAGTCACCTTGAAGCTATGTTTAGACAACAATACTCTCCTGCTCTTGTCGATATGGGGATAATGATTTTGTTTCTATACTTTAACGGCCATTTTCTATAACCTATTTATCTGTAGATTCGCTTACTGAGATAGAATTTTGTATGAAGATTATGTCATAATTCAATTCAAAGGATAAATAGGTTATAGAAAATGGCCTAAGATTAAGTGTTAAGAGTGATTACATGCGATATACCTTACTCGTGTTTTAACCATGCTTCGGCACGAATGGGCTGGTTCGACCGTAGTAATACCACGACCGAACAGAAAACCGACGTGAAACAACGGTTGCGTTGTGTTTCGTCGTGTGAGTGAGGTGACCGGTGATTTAATAACCCCCCCCCCCCACTCCCCACCCCCGAATCCCCAACAATCCCCAAATTCCTAATCCCTAAAAGGCCGGTAACGCACTTTTAAGACTTCTGGTGTTTTGTGTCCATGGGCGACGCCGATTGCTTAGCATCGACGACACAATAATTTTTATTTACTTTTTGCAATCAGCTCCCTAGCCATAATCAAATGTGGTCTTATTGGTATTCTTCTTTATTTCAGTAATACTCCATCAAGTATCACTGTAATATGCTTGAGGACTGTGATCAAATTATCTGGTCCAGGTCAAGTATTTGCCATCGTTTAAGGCGTCCTATAGTTCCTCGTTTGCTTAGAACTCCCCTAGCAAAGAATTTGTATAATCAAATTCAAAATATAAATCAAACTACACGTTTTTGTTTAACTCACGTCAATTTTCGAGCATTTAGCCACGACCGGGCTTGACAGGCGGCACGCCATCGATGTGTAACCGCCCTAACGTCACGGTTGGTCTATTCAAGTAACACACATCACGAAACGAGCCACAAACACTAATCATCTTGACATAAAAGGTCACTTAATAGTATTATTAATATTTTTTCTATAACGGAAGCTAGTAATATAAAGTATTGTTGAGTTTTTGGTTACCATGTCGCTATTGTGTATAATTTTGCGGTGTGTTGTTTTAAATAAATATTGGTCTAAAGTAATAAGTTTATCCTTAATTTAGTCCGTAGTATTAAGTCTTTGTATCTCGTGCTAGATGGCTGAATTGAGTTCAAGACTTCAATCATTCAGCGCAGAGTGCAATATCATCATCATTATCATCAGAAAAGTTCCAATATGAATTCTATTCTTCTAATTAATTCTTCAGGTGATCGAAGGGCTGGCTACTACCTTGGGCAAAGGTTAAG